TCCCTCTTCTCCTAGTCCCGGTCAGGCACTCACCCACACATTCACTCACTCACTCATCCACATTTACTCACTTGTGATACAAAAAGGGGAGACAAACGGGCAAGAACGGCCCTTGAGAAGACCACAGCGTTCTACGTCTCTGAGCGCTCACTCGGAACGGTAAGAGATTGGCAGACTTAATTCATTAATATTTCGTTAACTAATTGTCGGATCCAAAAATGCAAGAGGAACTTTCAATTCCAAATTGCACCCCCTACCTACCTCTAACAGGTGTTCTACCAGTTTTGGGACACCCTGTATAATACTATTAATTAAAACAAAAAAAAGAAATTAGATTTTTGTTATCCTCTATAGTGCTTTCCGCCCTTAACTTTTTAAGTCACGAATTTTTCTGCACAATCTTTTCCTTTGTTCAATCGATATCTGAGGGTTTTTCAGATCGCTAATTACGAATTTGAAATCAGTTTTTGAAAATTCAAGATGGCGGATCCACAATATGTCGGACGACAATTTTAAAACTCCTTAGATTTCCATGAAAATTGGTATCCGAGATTTTTTGGCTGATCACGAATTTGAAATCACTTTTTTGAAATTCAAGCTATTCATAGATTTACTCTTTTACGGAACTTCACTCTTTTATGGAAAGAACTTCACTCTTTTACGGAAAGAAATGTAATTTATCCCGATGTTAGTATTTTAGCTCGCCATATTGCCCAGTAAATGCTAGGTATTCCTGGAATATTTATAAAATGTTCCTAAAATCCGAAATTAACATTCCAAGTATACTCCAAAATATTCCGGAATATTCATAGAATATACAAGGAATATTCAAATAAGCGCAAAAATTTACACTTTTTTACAAATATTGGCGAATTGGTTAAGATAAAAAACAAGTCAACTTGCTGACTTTACTTGAAATTTAAGATTACTTGATTCCAAATGTTATATCACACTTAAAAATTCTCACTAACTGAGTTTCGAACTTGGACCTGAGACATATAATCCAAGCTTTGTATTATAAGTCTATTGCTTTAAACACTACACCGCTTCTTCGATCGATATAAACGTCTTATATTTTGATATTTTAGGCTTTTGCAGTGTCCATACATATTAGATTTGGTTTCCAGGTGTGAGCCGCGTGGATTCTTCTTTGTTTGATTCCGACGTTTCGCGAATATTTCAGTCCGCTTCATCAGGGAGGAACGACCCGATGCCGAGTTGCTCCTGAGAGAACTCCTTTATATAGTAGTTGACATAGGGGGAAAGGGGAGAGGAAACAGGAAGGTGTGGGGAAGTTGGCAGGGTTGGGATGATGGTGGGAAATTTGTTGCCTGTCATGTTTTGGAAACCGGGAGGACAGATTACCAGATTGGACTGATTTTTTATCTTATATTTTGTCTATATACATATATATGTTGCAATTAACGCAGTAATATAATCTTTTTATAATATAACTTAATTTTAATAAAAACTATATTTTTTGTACTTTTATTGTTAATTTAAACTTTATCTAGTGAGATGAGGTCTACGAAACACCGCACATTCCATTTCGGTCTTAAAATTTTTATAGTAAAATGTTTTTATTGCTATTATTAAATAGATAAAATCATAAGAGATTAAAATTCAAATGATTATAAATCTATGAATAAATCTATAAATAAATGATTATAAATCATAAGAGATTAAAATTCAAATGATTATAAAAGAGTACAATTTAAAAAAGAGAAAAATCCATCTTACCATATAAAATTTAATTTTAATTAATTAAATTTATGTATAAATATATAAATAAACGCTTATTATAAGGAGTATCTGTCTAATGCAACCATACCATATAATAAATGAAATTAGCTAATAATAGTAATTTCTCACGAATTCTCAGAATATCTCAAGTAATGATTTGCAAAATGTGCATTACAATAAATTTCTGAAAAATACTTTAGAATAAATTAAACTCGGATAATATTTCGGATATTAATTTTTTTTATTTTTTAGATGTTCTTTAAAATTCTCTATGAACTTCTATTCATCTTTATGCTATTTGGATTGAATATTCCTTATTGCACATACAAATAGTATTCATAGAATATTCTGAATATTCCACAATTATTTGAACATTCTGTGAACATTTCTTGAATATTCGGTATATATGGAACTTCTGGAATACAAACGGAATATTCCAGGAATATCTAATGTTTACTGGATAAGTTCGCTATCTTGAATTTTGAAATGTTTAAGGTTGCGTCATTATCTACAGTTTAAAAAGCAGTACCAAACCGTTTTTTCCATAGGTTTGCTTTGTAATATTTTTGGCAAATGAATTTCTTTCAAAAAAATACAATTTTTTTACATTAACTTGTTTATGAATAATTAAATTTACAAAATTTAATGTTCTATGCAGATGATTCTATTAGAGGAACATCTAAGCTTCACAATGAATGCACATTTACCGCCTCGAAGTCTCTACAAATTAGTTTAATTTCGTAAAAACTGCTCTAAAAAAGGTGTATCATATATGATACATTATGACTTAACCCTTTCAGGCAGATATTTTTATATCCATTAGTTTTTCATGAAAATTGGTGTACAGGGGTTTTTTTGGGTTACTGATTATGAATCCCTTGGTAGATTTTTGTATTTCTTTTTCAAAATGGCGGATCCAATATAGCGGCTCACAATTTTGGGGATTTTTTATCGGTTTTTTATAAAAAAATTGTTATAAATAAATTACATCAAAAGCTTAGCTAAAAGATATTTTAAAAAATATTAAAACAAGCTTATTCAGATCAATTGTACTCTTACAAATACTCTATTGAAAAATACAAGACAATTTTATACCCTCTATAAAAGTAATGATATCAAGAAGTTTACGCCAAGTGCGAATGATTAATCATTTCAGTTTTTATTTTTATATACTTTTATATACTTTTATAAACATATGTGGTTTTGGCTATATAATATATTTATAAATTAAATATATTATTAATAAATAATATAATATTATTAAATAAAAAATAAAATAATTTGAGAAATACAATAATGTTGAAAAAAATTATAATAAATTACATTGAAAACATGTTGAAAAAAATTATAATAAATTACACAAAAAGCACTTGGAGAGCCTTTTTTAATACAACTAGCACACAGCGTGCGCTACGCGCGCACCTTCCACCTCCTTTCTTAATATTTCATTACACTTTAATTACGTCACGAAAAACTCACATACAAACCTATAATCTGCATTGTCTCTCCCAGTCTCTCCCTGTCTCTCCCTACCTCTCCCTACCTCTCCTGTCTTTTCCTGTCTCTCCCTATTTTTTCCTGTTTGTTTTTCCCTGTCTTTCCTCTTTTCCCTCTGTCACGCCCTATCTTTCCCTGTCTTTCTCTGTCTCTACCCGCCTCTCTCTGTTTCTCCCTGTCTCTCCCTGTCTTTCCCCGTCTCTTCCTGTCTCTCTTTGCCTTTCCCTGTCTCTCCCCATCTCACCCCGTCTAATTCCCTTCTTTCCCTGCCTCTCTCTTTCTCCCTGTCTCTTCCTATCTCTCCCTGTCTCTCCTCGTACCTCCTTGTCTCTTC